GTCCATTTTTAATCAGTTGGGAATTGGGGAAGTTCGACCTACTACCGTGACTTTGCAATTAGCGGATAGGTCCTTGGCATATCCGAAAGGTAAAATTGAAGACATCTTGGTTAAAGTGGACAAATTCAACTTTCCAGCCGACTTTCTAGTGTTAGATTATGAAGCCGATAGGAATGTTCCAATCATCTTAGGGAGACCCTTTCTTGCTACGTGTAGGACATTGATCGATGTACAAAAGGGTGAGCTGACCATGAGAGTGAATGACCAGCTTGTGACTTTCAATGTGTTTAAGACTCTTAAGTTCAATGGGGAGATTGAGGACTGTTCGTCTATTTACTCAGTAGGTGAAGATTTAGATCTAAGTTTGCTCGACTGTGTCCACAGTGGAGACACTGTGGGCACGGTAGAAAACATTTGTGGAGAAGACTTACTTGAGGACATAGCTGCCTTTGAACAGTTAGATTTTAAAGATATACCAACCCAAACCCCGTCCATTATAGAAGCACCCGATTTGGAGTTAAAACCACTACCTTCACATCTTAAGTATGCATATCTTATGGAAGGAGAAAAATTGTCCGTGATTATTTCTTCCAACTTAAGTGATGAACAAGAGGAAAGGTTGATAGATTTGCTGAAGGACCATAAGAAAACTTTCGGTTGGACCATTGCTGATATTAGGGGAATAAGCCCGTCCATTTGCCAACATAAGATTATATTGGAAGAAAATAGTGTTGGGAAGGTACAACCTCAAAGAAGGCTAAATCCAGTCATGAAAGAAGTGGTTAAGAAGGAAATCTTGAAGTGGTTAGACGCGGGTTATTTACCACATTGCTAGTAGCGGTTGGGTGAGTCCGGTTCAACGCGTGCCTAAGAAAGGTGGTACTACGGTAATCACCAACGACAAGAACGAACTTATCCTAACTAGAACTGTTACCGGGTGGAGGATTTGTATGGACTATAGGCAATTGAACTTAGCTACTAAGAAAGATCACTTCCCTTCCCTTTCATAGATCAAATGCTAGATCGGTTGGCCGGAAAAGAGTTTTATTGTTTTTTGGATGGGTACTCGGGATACAATCAAATCCATATTGCACCCGAAGATCAAGAGAAAACTACTTTCACTTGTCCCTTTGGAATTTTTGCTTTCCGACGTATGCCATTCGGCTTATGTAATACTCCGGCCACTTTCCAACGATGTATGATGTCTATTTTTTCGGATATGATTGAAGACACTACGGAAGTTTTTATGGATGATTTTTCGGTTATTGGCACAAATTTTGAAAATTGTCTTGAAAATTTGAAGAAAAGTTTGGAGAGATGTGAGACCCATGACTTGATTTTAAATTGGGAAAAATGTCATTTTATGGTACAAGAGGGAAATGTTTTGGGTTACATGATTTCAAAGAAAGGTTTGGAAGTTTACAAAGCTAAAATTGAGGTGATAATGCAATTGCCCGAACCTACTTCGGTCAAAGGTATTCGTTGTTTTTTGGGACATGCGGGTTTTTACCGACGGTTTATAAGGATTTTCTAAAGTTGCGAAACCCCTATGTAACTTGTTGCATGTTGACCAAGCTTTTGAGTTCACCTCCGATTGTAAAAAGGCTTTTGAAACAATCAAGAATGCTCTTGTCTCGGTACCCATTATTATCACTCCCGATTGGTCCCTACCTTTTGAGGTAATGTGTGACGCAAGTGATTGAGCCGTGGGTGCCGTTTTGGGACAAAGGCAAAATAAAATTTTTCACCCCATATACTACACAAGTAAGACTCTTATTGAAGCTCAATTCAATTATACCACCACGGAAAAAGAATTACTTGTGATAGTATTTGCTTTTGATCGTTTCCGTTCATACTTGATTGGTACCAAAGTCACTGTTCATACCGATCATTCTACAATAAAGTATTTATTTAAAAAAGTTGATGCGAAACCACGACTTATTAGATGGATTCTTTTATTGCAAGAATTTGATCTTCAGATTGTTGACCGAAAGGGATATGACAATCAAGTGGCCGATCACCTTTCTAGAATTGAAGGAAATGTATCAAGTGGGGGGAGTCATGAGATTAAGGAAGTTTTCCCGGATGAATTTGTTTTGGCCATGCAACACAATTTTCAAAAACAAAATCCTTGGTATGCAAATATTGCCAACTATCTTGCATTTGGCCTTAAACCATATCATTTTCAGGGAAACCGGTTTAAAAAATTTCTTCATGATTGCAAGCATTATTTGTGGGATGATCCATCCCTTTTTAAATTGGGATCAGATTAAATTTTGAGAAAGTGTGTCCCGGATGATGAAATCCAAGCTTTGTTAAAGCAATGTCATGCATCACCATATGGAGGCCACTTTGGTGGACAACGTACGGCCGCTAAAATTTCACAAAGCGGATTTTTTTGGCCCACCATGTTTAAGGATGCTTTTGAATTTGTGAAGAGTTGTGACCAATGCCAACGCATGGGGAATTTGTCCCAAAGAAATGAGATGCCCTTGAACAATATTTTGGAACACGAACTTTTCGATGTTTGGGGTATTGACTTTATGGGACCATTTCCCATGTCTTTTCATAATCAGTACATTTTGGTTGCGGTAGACTATGTCTCCAAATGGATAGAAGCAAAGGCTTGCCCAAGAAATGATGCCAAAACGGTAGTGGAATTTTTSCATAARAACATTTTTGTTCGTTTTGGAACACCCCGAGCATTGATAAGCGATGAAGGGACTCATTTCATAAACAAAGTGTTATGTACCGCTCTTGAGAAGTAGAACATCCGACATAAAGTAGCCACAACTTACCACCCACAAACCAATGGTCTTGCGGAACTTTCAAATCGTGAGATAAAAAAGATTTTAGAAAAAGTGGTTAAGCCAAATCGTAAAAATTGGTCGCTTAAATTGGATGATGCACTTTGGGCCTACCGTACCGCTTTCAAGACTCCGTTGGGCATGTCTCCGAACCAACTTGTTTTTGGAAAATCTTGTCACCTTCTGTTGGAGTTAGAGTATAAGGCATTTTGGGCTATTAAGGAACTTAATTTAAATGCAACTCTAGCGGGAGAGAAAAGAAAGCTCCAACTCAATGAGTTGGAAAAGTGGAGGTACCAAGCCTACGAGAATGCCAAAATTTACAAAGAAAAGACGAAAATATGGCATGATCGTAGGATCAATCAAAGAATTTTTGAGAAAGGTCAAAAAGTGCTTCTTTTTAATTCTAGGTTGAGGCCTTTCCCCAGAAAACTCAAATCTAGATGGTCGGGACCTTTCACTATTGTTGATGTGGGAAAGTTTGGAACTATCGATCTCTTGAACCCACAAGACAATACAGTTTTTAAAGTGAATGGGCATCGAGTCAAGCATTTCTTCCCAGAAGGAATGGAAGATCCACGCCAAAAATCTCTCTGATTAATTGTCAATCTTTCTGTTGTAAATAGTGTAAATATTTTTAATTATTGTGCTTCTTGTTTATTTCATGCAGGTATGCTCACAGTAAGCATCTCATGCTCACATTCTGAAATGGGTTGTGGTTAATATTTTTTGAATATTGGCGGGTTTTTGTGGAATCTTCCAAGGAAATGAAAAAGGGAAATTAAGAAAAGAAATGAGATTATTTTTGAAAAAAAGTGATGATGATTTTTCTGAAAATGGAGGCTTGTGTAAGGTGATTTGACTAGTACCATGACATCATTTTTTTCAAATCAATTGTCCTTACAAAGGTTTTGCATGCAAAGGGGGCGGTTACCTAGGCAAAATCCATCGGTTATCTATGAAAAAGGGGGGGAAATTTACTTTTGTTTCACTATTCATCTTCTCCTCTCTCTTTTCATGGCTAGAACAAGGAACAATCCCACTGGCCGGCCCCCTTATCGTCCGCCTACTCGCCGTTCTACTCGCCGGACCGTCGCCGGCGACGCATCATCCGCTGCTCCAGTGGCAACATCAGCCGGTCCATCGATGCGTTATCCAGCACCCCTTTCACCGAACCCCATTGCCTTTGCTCCGCCGACAGGACGTTCATCAACCATCGGCGCCGGTCAATCATCCACCATGCGGGTCGACTATGACGAGTACCATGCCATTGTCACTCCAGTTAGTATCACTCAAACTCCTCCCCTATTTACCATCGTTTTCATCCCTTCCACCATTATTCACACCACCACCACCACCACCATCGGCGCCGGTCCGTCTACTTTACGACCGCCGGCCGCCGTGACCCTTCCCCAACCCATATCAAAACCCCTCTTTTTAGCCCTAACTGTGCCACCATCCATCACTCCTACACCATCCCCCATTCCACCGCCTTCTAACCCTACACCCACTCAACCACCCCTATTCCCCTTCCCTCAACACCACTCGGCCCACCCACCATACACGACTTCGACCTTAACTTTAGTGATACCTTAGGCGAGGACTTCCATTTTGACTTTGAAGCAAATGCCTCTAATAATCCTGAGGATTTATACTCTTTTTTTGTTCCTAAGTCAATAGAAGTGAAACAACCCTCATATTCCATATACATATAATTCACATCATCATACTCATAATACTAAAAATAGTATTATTACAAAACATGGATTAACAAAATGTATCTTTAATACATATATGAATAAACTAATATTATCATTTAAACTTTTCCCTTGCCTTTATCTTGCAAAGTACGCTGACCTGCAAAACAGGTTAGTCCAACAACTGAGCGTTAGACCAAAAGGTCTAGTGAGTGTATAATTCTCAACAAACAATATACATTCCAAACAATCAGTTCAGAATCAAACATGTTTCTGATACATAATCTTATTCATGTATCTCTCTCTCACGGTTACACCGCCATTACATCTCTCTCGCGGTTACACCGCCATTACATCTCTCTCGCGGTTACACCGCCATTACATCTCTCTCTCTCGGTTACACCGCCATTACATCTCTCTCTCGCGGTTACACCGCCATTACATCTCTCTCTCGCGGTTACACCGCCATTACATCTCTCTCGCGGTTACACCGCCATTACAT